CATGTCATCAAGATGGTGGATTTAAAGCTATGGTGATGTAGAACAAATGGAAAAAATGTGGTACTTTTATCCAGCGTGTCCCCATAATTTTGCTATTTAAACATGTTTGAATGGTGATATACACAGTGATAGATGTTAACCTGTTTAGCCCTGAGCCTGTTTTTCAGGTCTCAGGCTCAAAAATGACATTCCCAGAACAAATGACCATATCTTCCCTTCTAAAAGGGTTAAATTAATACACTTTTTTCTCAAAGTAATGATAAACCTGTGAGTTGGATGTAGAAAAGTCAGAATCAATATAAATGTTTTTTATTTTAAAGAAAATTCAGATTGAACATAGTAAAAAACTCTAAATTATAGTGTCCGTCCAAACATTTTTTTTTACTTATAGTGAAAACTACCCTTGGATAATAGATAGAATAGATAGAATCGTTTAATGTCATTATACATGTACAATGAGATAATAATAAATGCTTCTCCCTATCAAGGGTGCCATCAAAACAAAAACATCACAACATAAGACAACAAAATACAAGCAGCATACATACTTAGGAATAAGGAATAAAGGAATAAGGAATAAAGTGCAGTAATTATTTCCAGGAGTATAAAAATAAAATCTGTAATGTAATAAATAATAATAATATTATGTATTTATAATAATAATCCTTATATTTATTATAGCGCTTTATCAATGACTCTCAAAGCGCTTTACAAATACACATTACACATACATGTAATGGTCATCTACTGTGGACAATACCCACAGGAGCAAATTCGGGTAAAGTGTCTTGCCCAAGGACACAACGGCCTGACGCAGTGGGGCGAGAGCGGGTTTCGAACTGGAGTTCCCCAACTCCCCCTTGATCTGATGATCAAACGGCGCTACCCGTACCGGGTTATAATAATAATAATAATAATAATAATAATAATAGTAATGATATATATGTACAGAGTCACATTTATGATGATTAAGAGGTATTATTTCAGGTGTTAAAAGCAACGATGGCTCTTGGGAAAAAACTGTCTTTGAGTCTGTTTGTTTTGGATGTGATACACCTGTAGCGCCTGCCGGAGGGCAGCAGGTTGAACCGGTGAAAGCCGGGGTGTGAACTGTCCTTGACAATGTTTTTGGCTCTACTGAGGCAGCGGGAGGTGTAAATGTCCATCAGGGAGGGGAGAGGGCAGACGATGATCCTCTGTGCTGGTTTTACAACTCTCTGGAGCCTCATCCACACAGCCCTGAGGAGAGCCGGTGCTGAGAGTGCGGGTGGAGGAGTGATGGGGGCCAAGTCTCACACGCTGGGGGCGATTAGTGAGGAAATCTTTGATCCAGGAAAAGGTGGGTGGGGGAAGGCCTAGGTTTGATAGTTTGCAAACTATAATGTCCGGGATGATTGTGTTGAATGCTGAGCTGTAGTCAATAAAGAGCAATCTGACGTAGCTCCCACGATGCTCCAGGTGGCTCAGTGCAGAGTGGAGAGCTATGGCTATGGCATCTTCAGTGGATCTATTTGCTCTGTAGGCAAACTGGTGTGGGTCGAGGGTGGGGGGAAGGCCCCACCCTCGAGGGTATATAGGCCGTATATATTGGTATTACAGGATCACAGGATTAAATGACTACAGAGTCGTCGTTCTGACCACTGTGGTTATGAAGTCCTTTGAGCGCCTTGTCCTGTCCCACCTAAAATCCATCACAGACCCCCTCCTGGACCCCCTGCAGTTCGCCTACAGAGCCAACAGGTCTGAGGACGATGCTGTCAACATGGCCCTTCACTTCCTCCTCCTCCAACACCTGGACACAGCAGGAACCTACGCCAGGATCCTGTTTATGGACTTCAGCTCCGCCTTCAACACGATCATCCCGGCTCTGCTGCAGGACAAGCTCTTCCAGCTGCACGTGCCCGACTCCACCTGCAGGTGGATCACAGACTTCCTGTCTGACAGGAAGCACCACGTGAGGCTGGGGAAACACGTCTCTGACCACCGGACCATTAGCACCGGTTCCCCTCAAGGCTGCGTTCTTTCCCCTCTGCTCTTCTCCATGTACACCAACAGCTGCACCTCCAGTCACCAGTCTGTCAAGCTCCTGAAGTTCAGACGACACCACCCTCATCGGACTCATCTCTGGTGGGGACGAGTCTGCCTACAGGTGGGAGATGGACCATCTTGTGACCTGGTGTGGGGAAAACTACCTGGAGCTCAACGCCCTCAAGACAGTGGAGATGGTTGTGGACTTTAGGAAGAACGCAGCCCCCCCCCCCCCTATCACTCTGTGTGACCCCCCATCACTCTGTGTGACCCCCCATAACTCTGTGTGACCCCCCATCACTCTGTGTGACCCCCCATAACTCTGTGTGACCCCCCATAACTCTGTGTGACCCCCCATCACTCTGTGTGACTCCCCATCACTCTGTGTGACCCCCCATCACTCTGTGTGACACCCCAGTAACTGCTGTGGAGTCTTTCCGCTTCCTGGGCACCATCATCGCCCAGGACCTCAAATGGGAGCAGAACATCGGCTCCCTCACCAAAAAAGCCCAGCAGATGATGTTCTTCCTAAGGCAGCTGAAGAAATTCAACCTGCCAAAGATGATGATGGTGAACTTCTACACCTCCATCATCGAGTTCATCCTCACCTCCTCCATCACCATCTGGTACGCTGCAGCCACAGCCAAGGATAAGGGCAGGCTGCAGCGTGTCATTCGCTCTGCAGAGAAGGCTGTAATCTGCCATCCCTCCACGACCTGCATGCCTCCAGGACCCTGAGGCGGGCAGGGAAGATAGTGGCGACCCCTCCCACCCTGGACACAAACTGTTCACCCCCCTCCCCTCTGGCAGGAGGCTGCGCTCCATCAGGACCAAAACCTCTCGCCACCTGAACAGTTTCTTCCGCTCCGCCACCCCCTCTTAAACAAGGCCCGGCCCCCCCACTGACACTTACCTCAGCCACGACGTAGTCTCTATATGCATTACATTAAAAGTCCCATGTCATGGCCATTTCTACTGATCATAATTCCATTGTTGAGGTCTACTAAAATAGATTTATACTGTGCAATTTTCCAAACTCACATTGGTTTCTCATCCAGCATCTCTGTATAGTATGTGTATTCACTCTCTGTCCTAAACGGCTTGTTGGAGCTCCTGCCCCCCACCTCCCTGTGAGCCCAGTGTGCTCTGATTGGTCGGGACGTTGAGAGGCTCGTTGCTGTGATCAGCTGCGAGGAGCGGAAGCCTGTCCGCTCCTCGCAGCAGATCGCAGCAACGAGCCTCTCGCGATACAGCGAGAACAAGCGAAACTCATCCTGAGCATACACAAACACTCACAGCCGTAGTAAAAACAATAAGTGTGGCTTGATATTGAGTAAGAAAAAGGCTTATAACGCTGTGAGAATGGGTCTGCGGAGAGCATTTCTCCGCGATCCCAACTTAGTAGCCCGAAAAACGTTTACCCATTTAAACAGTCGTGGTAGATACCTTGTTTGTTTTAAACATCATAAATACACAAACAACAATGAATATTGCAGATTGTGTACCCGAATCTCCTACTGGTCCAAACAAAGTAGGAACAGCATCGTTCTTCAGTGCCCTATGCTGTACATATCCGGCATGAATCGCTGAAAGGTTTGTGAAGCTTTGTTTCGTGAAATGCTGGCAGAGGGTGTGGCCTCTGGGTGTTCACACGTCAGAGTACCCAGGAAGAAAATGAGAAATCTTACATCGAGGCTTTTTGGGGAGGTATTTTCTGTGTTAGTGTTTTACTCGCTACAGGGTGTACTTTGAGGGTTTTTGACTCTGCAGACCGTTTACATGCATAAAACCTTCATAACATACAAGGGGACGGGTAATAACCGGAAAAGCATGACATGGTACCTTTAATGCACACAATGTTCATACTGCTTACATATTTCTTGTTTCATATTTCATATCCTATAATTCATTCATAGCATTCTATTTCCATGTAAATTACTGATTTATTTTATTGCTCTTTAACTATATTTTATTATGGTCTCCTTAAAGATTTTTTGTTTTTTATGGAGATTTCTTGTTTTTACATTACATTACATTACATGTCATTTGTTAGACGCTTTTATCCAAAGCGACTTGTTTTATATTTTATGTCTGCACCATGACATCAAGTCAAATTCCTCGTATGTGTGAACCTACCTGGCAATAAACCTGTTTCTGATTGATATATCCCAGACCTTAACATTTTGATCTCAAAAAGAGCATCAGATCAATTATCAGTGTACACAGCAGAAATGCTGGCAGTAATAATAGGATTACAGTGGGAGGTCAGAGGAGAGGTCAGACCAGATAGGGTGGTGATATGCACAGATTCATTGTCCATATTAAAAAGCATAAAGTCAACAACAACTGTCAGAGAAGACATACTCATAGAACTTAATCATAGTCTGTTAAGACTGCACAGAGGCGGAGAAAGAGTATCATAAAGTTCAAAAGACAATTACAATTAATATGTATAAAGAAAGAAACAGAAGGGAGGACATCACGATACCTACACTCAGACTGGATCACACAGCATTGAATGGTACTCTGTATGTCATGGGGGAAAGTGACAGTGACAAGTGTGGGAACTGTGGAGTCAAGGAAGATGTAGAACATATCTTATTACATTGTGACATCTATAAAGCTGAATGAGAAAAACTAAAAGATGAAGTTTTAGAGGCAGAGAGGGAGTGTGTTTGGTATTCTGGGAACAGAAGGAGAAGGAGCTACCAGAAAGGCACTGTTTACCTTTCTGAGTGAAACTGGGGTAGGAAAACAATTTAACATTAGGTTAGAATAGATCATGGATTGTTGTTTTGTTTATTTTATTTTTCCTTATTTTGTTTTATTAGAGTTGGAATGACATGATGATACACACTCATGTACAGTAGGTGGCGGTATACAACTAAAAGCTTTTTGCGATCTGCCATTAAAAAAGAGAAGAAGAAGGAGAAATCATAGCCACTTTTATTTTGAAGTCCTCTGCACCGGAAGTGATGGACCCGCTCTTTCTAACTGGGAACCAGATCGCGTCTTGTGGGTTCTCTATCTACATCTATGGTTCTCTCTCGGTGTTCCTGAGACAGTGTGTGTGAGCAGCTGATCCATCGTCTGTGTGTCTGGATGAACCTCTGACGTTGTGCTCTTTCTTCTGAAGCCTTTAGCTCGGACTCTAGAAGCTAGCTTAGCATGTTAGCTTAGCATGCTAGCTGGTAACACGCTAGCAACACAGAGTGAGAGAAACGGGAAGTGGTGATTTAGTAAACATGAGTGTTGTGCTGCTCTCGTTGGTGAAGCAGCGACTCACTGCGGCTGCTGAAGACATCTTTGTTCTGTTTGAAAGAACGATATCAGAGTACGAGGAGGAACTGTCTCGTTCAAAACAGGAGAACGAGAGACACCGGAATCTACTGGACACTGTTTTACAGCCTCAGATCCACAGAGCAGGTCTGTTCCCTCTTTATTCACTCTTTCTATTAACTCTCTTTTTATCCAGAGGTCTTTCTTCTTCTTCTTCTTCTTCTTCTTCTTCTTCTTCTTCTTCTTCTTCTTCTTCTTCTTCTTCTTCTTCTTCTTCTTCTTCTTCTTCTTCTTCTTCTTCTTCTTCTTCTTCTTCTTCTATGGGTTTATTGGCGGTTGGCAACCAACACACGGGTGCATTACCGCCACCTACTGGACTGGAGTGTGGAGCAGTAGATTGAAAAAAAGAGAAAATAAATGCAAAAAAATTATAAAAGTAAACCTACATTTTTTTTCTATTATTCCAGTTGTTTTTAAGAATTATTTCAGCAGTTTAAAGACTTCCTCTGATGTCCCTAGCAGATTCCCCACAGTGTTTGTCGGTTTCCGGTTTATTGCAATCTGTGCAGAGTCCCGTGGGGTGCATGGCAATTCTGTGAGTAGGGGTGCAAACTTGTCACCTTTCGGCGAAATTCGCCGTTTTGATTCCAAAATAGGTCGTTTGGGTGATTCATGTAGATCTGCAATAAAGATATTTTTTTTTGGGGGGGGGGGGGCGAGAGCAATATTATTTAAGGTATCGTTGAGCTAGCTAACTAGCATACATTTTTACTATCTGCTAACGTTAGCTTTAGCCTTCGTTTTCTAATAGTTTTTTTCATAGGCTATAAACAGAGGTGGTATAAGTTAGGGCTGTGCAATTAATCATATTTTAATCGCAATTAGAATTTTGGCCTGCCACAATTATGAAAACAAAATAATCGAAACAATTATTTTATTTTCCTTTGTTAGGTTTGACAGTGCAACATATTTGATCTAATTTATTTTAGTCAATTTATTTTTATTTATCATATTTATATATGTTTAGTAGCTTGTTGAAGTGCGCTCAAATATTTGTTGATCTTGTATTGGTATTTATTATTTTGATATTATTATATAAATGTATCATTTATTTAATTTATGTTCGTATTGGTTTTTCAGTTGAATTATACGTTCAGGGGAATCAACAGTTAAAAAGATACTGTTCAAATTATTATTTGTATTTGTTTTAAAGTTCAATAAATTGATGTTTTCAAAGTCAATAAATAATCGTATTTAATAATCGTGATATCAATTATTGACCAAAATAATCGTGATTATGATTTTTGCCATAATCAAGCAGCCCTAGTATAAGTATAGATCATGTACTAGATTAAAAGTAGAAGTACTCAGATCTTGTACTCCGAGTAAAAGTAGAAGTACTCAGATCTTGTACTCCGAGTAAAAGTAGAAGTACTCAGATCTTGTACTTTAGTAAAAGTAGAAGTACTCAGATCTTGTTCTTGAGTAAAAGTAGAAGTACCAGAGTGTAGGAAAAATCCTGCATTCAAAATGTTCGTCAAGTAAAAGTAGAAAAGTATTATCATCAAAATATAGTGAAAGTAGCGACAGTAAAAGTAGTCGTTGTGCAGATTGGTCCCATTTCAGAATAATATATATGATATGTTTTATAATGATTGATCATGAAAGTGTTCTCAAAGCTGGTAAAGGTGCAGCTAGTAGTGATGGGAATTACGGCTCTTTGAAGGGACCCGGATCTTATGGCTCCGTTTCCTTTCCAGGAGCCGTTTTTTAAGGGGTCGAGTGGATTTATGGCAGGCAGTGAACCAACGATAAAAATAATGGCTCTCACCAAGTACGACTTGGTTCCCTTCATTCGTACCAAAGAGCCGTTCAAAAGAATCGGATCGTTCGTGAACGTAACATCACTAGCAGCTAGTTTGAATGACTTTGTATACTGCAGGGTAGCTTGTGAATTTACTCTAGGTGGAACTAAAGTCTGATTTAAGAGTTCATTATATTTCACCTCATTCATCCACATCTAGTAACAAAAGGTATTAAATACATGTAGTGGAGTAAAAGTACACCTACAGAGAGAGAGAGGGAGAGAGGAAAAGAGCGCTTCCGCTAATTTCTCCCATGTTATTATCCAAAGTGAATGTAAACTTGAATAATGTACATCATTTGAATGTAATAATTAAGTTGATTGTTGTTTGTGGAAGCTCCAGTGAATTAGCCCCATTAACTGAGTTTAAAACATCACTTTAAATGGAAGATTTAAAGTTAGTAATCAGCAGCGAACCGCTTCAACACATGTATTTTGGTGTATTCACGGCATTCATTTTGTTATTCTACAGTATTGTTGTTTTATAGTTATTAACCCAATTTGTGTTCTTTGAAATCGAAAAGGATATCGCATTGTGTTTGTTACTTTCGTTGCAGTTGTATGTCTTAAGTGTAATTTGGCTTGGCTTCCTGTTTATGGACATGCTTTTATTTTGAAGGAGAGGTAGCGCTGTTGACAGGAAGTTGTTGTTGCTTTGGAAACAACGTGACGGAGATTAATGGAGAAAAGTAATATCTACATATAAAGACGGAGAAAGTAAACGATAACGTTTATGGTTAAGTGTTAGCACCCCCCGAACAAGCTCTTACGTTGATATTGGAGATTTCAATAAATTCAATTTGGAGAAAAAAACGGGGAAAAAACAAACAAAACGAATATCCGAATAACGAAATTGAAACCCGAATAGTACTCCAACGAACGAGTATTCGGGTACAGCCCTAGTACTAGTCGAGGGCCGGACTGGTTCAATGTTAATTGCAAAACGTATTGAAATGAACTTATTGCACATATTAAACCTGGAACTAACGAAGCTTAGATGATTGCCTATAAAAACATTACACATTAAATCAGTTGCATTCATTTCTTATGGCTCTACCTGCAGCTTTTCTAGAGTAATTTCTGGACTATATTCTTATTAAAAAAAATGTGCATACACAAATAACCTGCAACGTAACCACAACATGGTCACCCCTACCAGCCAAGCAAGCCGTGGTTGTCCTGCTGAAGAAACATTATCTAATTGTATAATAAAATCAATGGATCAGACATATCACTTTTGAATTTTGTTTATTGTACAAATCAAAGACATGTATGGACAAGAAGCCGCCGTCGAGGTGAGCCGCGGTAAGAGGAGAGGCCAGGCAGGGTCCTGAAGCGTGCCACCCACGGGCCGATGAAGCCTCTAATTAATTAGAGGCTTTGTAATTAATTAATCGAAATTAATCGCATTTTTAATCGCATATAAATATTTGACCTAAGAACAGTGAGAAGCAATTTTTTTCACATGGATTTTAGTATACCATTAGGCGCATTCACACCGCAGTACTTTTCCCACAAAGGTTCATGAGAACTTAGTTCATGAGAACAAATGAAGCCGCTGACGTCACTTCTTCTTCTTCTGCTTTGGATTTACTGGCAGGCCGCAAACCACTTCACGGCGTATACTGCCGCCCAAAGTCCCCGGCCGGAAGTCCCCGGAGTTAGGGACTGGCTTCAGTAAAAGCTGCTGGGAGTCCCAGCCTTTCCGAGTAAATCGCCAGAACGCCGACACCTCCTCATCTCCACCGCTCCCATGTTTTATTTTGTGTTGCCATAAGTTAGTCTCTCTGCGTTTCTGCGCTGGGCTAATGCTAATAATGCTAATGCGTGGATAATAAAATGGCGGCTTCACAAAACTTTTTGGGAGTTTTACGGGGCGTGGTTTGCAATCCGCCCAGCCAATCAGAAATATAGCTCTTTTCTCACAAGAGAGCCGTACGAAAGTCCCTGCTCTCTAGCAGCTCTCTGCTCTCTAGCAGGGACTTTCGTGGGGTAAAAAGGT